CCCCCGGCGACTCCTCCTGGAGGCTGGCCGAGCCCCCCACTGCCCTCCTTCCAGGTACAAGAGCTGCAGCAGCTGCTGGCGGAGAAGCAGGAAGAGAAGGAGAGCCTGGGACGCGAGGTGGAGAGTTTGCAGAGCAGGCTGTCCTTGCTGGAGGTGGGCGGGGCCTCGCCCCTGCCGGAGGTGGGCGGGGCCTCTCCTGCTGCGGCTACAGGACAACCACACCAATACATATACACGCGCACAGCCACACTCCCAACAGTCAAACGCGGCGCAAACGTGCCATCACAGGCAACACGCCCACAGACACACGTCCGGACACAAAACGGAGGCGTCCCAAAACGCGTAGCCTGTAGGCACAGAGGTGAACGACCACGGTCATCCGCACGTGGCCCTGCCCGTAAAGCTGGCAACCACAGCAAAACGTCTGTGAACGCATAATCACACACGCACCCTGTACACCCTCAACGTGTGCCCAACAGACGCTTCTCATCCAATCACACGCGGACGACAGGGCCACAGGTCCGTGTACACGCACGTGTATTCTCCAAAATACGTCCATTCGCAAACATAGGTACGTACACGAGCGTGCCCGCGCACACGGACACGCACACGTTGAAACATTCACGGACACACCAGACTAAAACACAAGCACAAAATCACACGTATCACAGGAGCTCACACGGGAGATGCGGGGGGCCACACCGCACGCACGTGCTCACCACAGACCCACAAACCCTGAGCCACGTGATCCGGGACTCGCGCACAGACACGTGACCCCCGCGTGGAGTCGCAGACCCTGTGAGGACACAGCCCACACACCCAGGCCGCACATACGACTCCGGTCAGTGGGCTGTGGTCGCGTGTTTGGGCAGCGGCGGGGCTGATCGCCGCTCCTCCCTGGGGGCCCACCGTAGCCCCACGGCACACAGTAGGCACTGAGTAAACTCCGTGGGCCAAACAGATCCTGTCTGATGCCCCGGGGGAGTGTGGGAGATGTGGACACCCCTGTCCACTCTGAATTTGGGGAGGGGAGGGGGACAGGACCCGAGCTGGACCCCGTCCCTCCCCCCAGAATGAGCGGGAGAACACGAGCTATGACGTGGCCACCCTGCAGGATGAGGAAGGTGAATTGTCTGACTTTCCAGGTGAGCCCCACCCCATCCTCCCTCCCTGCCCACCTTGTCCCTGGGGTCCCCGGGAAACGGGGCCTTGACCCACAGGCATGGAGAGAGTTTGAAGCTGGGAGGGAGGTCGGCCCTCCTCCACCGCTCCAGACCCCCAGCCCCCGTCCCTGTGGCCCAGGACCCTTGGGGCTGACTCTGTGCGCCCACCAGGGGCTGAGGCTCTGCTCTCCAAACGGCTAAGCCCCTCGGCCCAGGAGCTCTTGGCCTCACTGCGGGAGCAAGTGGCTGCACTCACCAGACAAAACCAGGAGCTGATGGAGAAGGTCCAGGTGGGGAAACTGTGGCACCGGAGGGTGGGGTGGGGACAGATCTGAGGACCCCAGGGATTGTCCCCAGGGGGAGGCGGGGGTCAGCGTGGGCATGTGGCTGAGTCTGTGGGCAGGGAAGGTGGCGGCAAGGCCACTTGTGCCCCCGTGGCCCCAAGCTCCCACCGGCTCCCTGCTACCACCTCCCAGATCCTGGAGAGCTTTGAGAAGGATGAGATGGAGGTAAACGGGTCAGCCGAGGTCATCCCCCTGGCCCTCTATGACTCTCTCCGGGCTGAGTTTGACCAGCTCCGCAGGCGGCACGCCGACGCCCTGCGGGCACTGGAGCGACAGGAAGCACATCG